TCCCCAGCCCCCCCCAGCCCTTCCCTCGAGTGTGTTTGTGTGTGGCAGGGGTGGGGGGTGGAGAGTTGGGAGGTAGGGGTGGGGCTACTTCATCAGACCAGCCTGTTACTAAGGCATGAAAATTCTGTTGTTGCCTGTGAGCCACTGTGAATGCGAAAGCGAATTGTTGCTCTAACCTGCAGGCTGTCACCTTGGAGTGGAGACAGCCGAGCGCCCTGGCCGCCCGGTCAGGACAGCTCCGCGCTGGAGCGACCTCCTTCTGCTCTGGGCATCTGCCTGCTGCCTTTCACTGGATTCCAGGGGCTTCCTGTTCCTGAGGTTGTCAATGCATAGGTTTTTTTTTTTTTTTTAAGTTCTTCTGGGCCATTCTACCCAGAGGCCAGTGTCGGTTGAGACTGAGTAAGTCGTATAGTGTCATCTCAGTGTGTGATTATAAAATGGAACCACTTATTCACTGTACAGAATTCCCAGGAACACTTGCACATCCCAACTAAAAGCCTGGGTTCCCCGTGCTCAAGGTCACTGCAAGTACACTTTTCCAGGCAAGAGTTACTCCTTTGCCGGCTTAAAGGGTCCGTTTGACATCAGTTACCTCTCCCAATATTCTTAAAGGCATTTTATTCACAAATCCTTTTATTAGTATTTACTATGAGTCAACCATTTTACTTACTCCTTCATTCAACACATATTTGAGTGCCTGCTGTGTGCTTAGCAGGGGCTACAATGGTGGACAAATCAAAGCCCCCGTCCTATGAAGCTTGTATTCTAGTGGGGTGGGGTGAGGCCGGCAGACAGGTAAATAATTACAGTTAATATGTAATGCTAGAGATTCTGAGGGAAGTACAGTTCATTAGTTGCTTAAACCTTGCATAAGGCAACTGCTCAATCGGAAGATGGGGTGGGGAGAGGTAAGGGTGGACTTACTGATTCTGTTTTCCTTTGAAATGTTTGAAAGTTCAGTTGATTTCATCACCAGCTAGGAGAACTGTTCAAATGGACTGACAGATGACGTCAGTTCTTCCTCTAGCAAAGCAAGTTCTCAGTTGATAAATATGCAGTATTTTGTTAAGTTTGTTTTAGCTTTAAGTGCACTTTTCCTACGAGGAAAAAAAAAGTATTTGTGCTAAATTACAAAAGTGTGTTTAAAACAGAATAGAATAGTCACCATGATGCCTGATTTCATTTGTAATATTTTCCCCTTGAGAAAATTCTTCTCCCGTTCTAAACAAGAATTGCAGGAACATAATCCCTCGCCGAGAAATCCCGCCTCCCCGCTTCCCCATCCCTGCACTCCGCCTTTGGTGCCATTAGCTTCTTACCTGCCCGGCCGGGTACCCAGCAACCTGGGATACGTTTGTACTGAGTGGAGTGCGGCACTAAAAAGGCCACTGCTCGGGGTTCAGGACCCGTTAAGTTCCCCTCACTTTTCTTTACGGTTGACTCAGTTGGTTAGAGTTTGGTACCAAGGAGGTCTAAGCACCTGACCGTGACTGTTCATTGATCTCTAGGCCCAACAGGTGGTCAGTATTTGCCGTAGAAAAACCAGGTCATGAGTGTTGGGAACGAAGTGACTGTTTATTTTGTAGGTGTGGGCTGGGAGGTGCCTTTAGCTGTGCCTGTGTCAATGGAGGAGAGGCCCCAGGACAGGCAGAAGGGAGGTAGTTCTTCACAGCTGTCACCGCCCCTTTAAGACAGTGAGCCAAGTGGTCCTAGGATCGCCCCAAGTTTTCCTGGATATGGGTGTGGAGGTCCGCAAAGACCTCTCCATCATGTCTGTTGTTGGAGAGGTTTGGCCTGCAGGTGTCAGTGCTGGGAGTGCCATACACAGTCGTAGCTCGAGGTTATCATCATTCTGGAGGGGGTTGCTTCCTCCAACAGAGGGAAAAGCCAGGAGCCCTTTTCAGAGTTACAAGGAAGGAGGTTGATGTCTGCTTTTAAAACCAAAGCACTTGTCTACCGTTGCCCAAGGAAGGTACAGAGCAACTGCTATCAGTACTGCCCGGGAGTGGGGTTTGGGGGCGGTGCAGGCTGCCAGAGAGCCCTGCACATGGTGGATGGGACCATGCCAGAGCGAGGGAGCTCTGCGGCAGTAGAAGCCGTCTCTGCACCTGAGATATGGTGACGACCAGCCACAGCTGAGAAACACAAAACCGGGGGTGGAGGGGGGTGAGGGGACAGAGACGCAAACTGCACGGGTCCTGTGGTGTGTGCTTCCTTCTGGGACTGTGATTGTTTCTTAAATGGTTTGAACTCCCTGTACTTCAAACACATCCAAGTTCAAATAAGAGGACAAAACCCCATTACAAAGCCAGCTCTAAAGGTCTTTCGGTTAACTGTGTTCTTGGTGCTGATATGGTCATCTAGCTCCTCAAGAAGTGACCTCAATACGCAGTTACCTTTGGCTGGGGGACGGTCCTGCACACTCCTGCAGACGCGATCTGTGGCATCTTTAGTGGTCGGCTTTCAGATACATAAAGAATATGTGGAGACTTTATAGATTTCCCTTGCGCGTGATAAGATGCAAATGCCCTGTGATAGTGATATGTGGTTTTAAAGTCTTTAAAAAATTTTTTTAGAGAGAGAGGAAAGGAGAGAGAGAAACATCGATGTGAGAGAGGAACATCGATTGGCTGCCTCCTGCACACCCCCTACTGGAGATCGAGCCCACAGCCCAGGCATGACGGGTGAGGGTGTCGCTCAGTTGGGTGAGTAAGTTTCATTCCATGCACCAAAACGTTGCCAGTTCAATTATCTTAAGAACAAGCAGTAGGATTTACAATTTTACAGTTAGAAAAATTCTTAACCCCCAAATATACATGCCCTCCCTGGGGCTATTTGTGGTATTTAAATATGAATAATTCTGTTTATTACTGTTTCTGTTTTCTGATGGTGACTCAGAGTTGATGTCATCATCACTGTTTGTGTGTGTGTTTGCCAGGCTGTCTGGAGGAGGAAGGCTGGAGTACAATTCTTTGGTTTTTGATCTCTTTAGACGTAAATGAAAATGGATGCTACTTCTTTGTTTTAAGCCAAAGACTCCAGCGCCTCCCTTTTCCTCATGATCATGAATCAGAGGTTGTAGTATAATTTGCACAGGATTTAAAACATCCCTTAACCAACAGGAACATGTAACCTGTAACAAGCATTCGTTTCACCAGCAAAATTGTGACGCTGCGGCGAGCCTCAGCTTGAGGTGCGGTTCTCGTGTTCCCGAATGCATTATTCTTATGTCAGCTGTTAATAACCCCAGCACTCCCAGTCCATTCACACCCTCCACGCACGAAGTGCCTTTTCACGGTGTTTTAGAGAGTGGAAGGACTGAACAGGTATTTTGCAGAAGATAAAACTGTAATAGTCATGTAAAGATGTTTACCTTCAGTGGTCATATGGGGCAGGCATATTAAAATGACTATGAAATATCATTTCACACTTATTAGATTAGCAAACATTGAATAGTCTCACAGTACAAGTGTGATGAAAACGAGCAGTAGAAACTACTGCCATTTAGAGAACGATTTAGTCCTGCTAATAAAATCCAAACCCAGTGTAGGACTCCTAGGTATACGCCCTGTACTATCTCTTAAACAGGTGCATAAGGAGATTGGTAGAGGATGCTTATGCAGCATGGTTTGCAATAATAAAAATTAGAAGCCCCCTAAATGAATCTCAAAAAGGGACTGGATAATTAAAGTGTGGTGTAAATTTGTTAGAACATAACAATTAAAATGAATGAACCAGATCTGTATACAGATACGTGGATGAATCTCTAAAACACCAAGTTAAATAAAAAAAAAACAAAAAAAACCAACAAACTATATAAATGTGACACATACTCATTATAGATTTTAAAAACATGTGGGACAATACTGTATTTGGTGTGTGAATGTGTATGAACAACTTGGAAATATGAGCACTTGGAGTAGAAGAGCCACGCCCAGTTCATGAGATTGGCTGTCTCTTGGGAAGGAGGGGAGCGAGTGGCCCCAGGGAGGGCGGGGGAGGGGAGCAGTGCAAGGAGATTTCCTCTTTATCCCTAATATTATGTCTTAAAAACCTGAAGCAAGTGTGATACAGTGTTAATTGTGGCGCTGGTTTCATGATCCGTATTTTGTTCATTTTGTTTTTGTGTTATTTTTTTAAAATTAAAAGATGGTAAAGCAAAAGGTCTGCATCCCTAGGAGAGAACGCTGCAGTTCTCTGTATGAGAAGGGGTCCCTCTTTTATTGCTATCCCTTTAGCCAGTGATGGCTGTGAACTGTGGTCATTTAACACTTGGGAGGGTGAGGCAGAGCGAGCTGCGCTCAGGGTGCTTTATTAAACTTCGTAGAGAATGCTGTCACAGCTAGTATCGCCCACCTGCTTGCATTTGCCGCCATGTCCCACTCTCCCCAGAAATTCACAGGCAGACAGCCTTTTGATGAGGCATCACTGAGGTGGATAGCCGATGGTTCCGACCTGGCAACCAGGAGCAGGTGACGAAGTTCGTGCCATACACATAAGCGAAGGCCTTTATGTATTGCAGTCATGGAGACCAGCTCTCATGCCCAGGGGGTTCTCACCACCACCAGGGGCTCAGCCATGATGAGAAGCTTCAGTAAGTTTTGCTACAATGACTGCAACATGTGACCATCTACCAGGGTTCTCTGCTAGTCTGAGCAAGTTTTATGCGGCCGCTCCCTCTAATTTAGTTCTGTCTGCCCTTAGGCAGTGGCTCGGAGCTTGGACTATAATCTGGGGATCATGTGCTGGGCGTGCCTTTCATTAGTTTAGGTTGAGTGGGGCATCATAGGTCAAAGACACCTTGCTGCCCTTGCTCTTAGTATGTCTTCAGGAAGCTGTTGTTGTCTGTAGACAGACACTGCCCCCTGGCGTAATGCGGGTGAAGCTGCAAATCTATGAGACACTCAGATTTCCATGGGGGTGGAGAGGGGGTGGATGGAGGTACCGGAGGCCTCTGGAGTTTTAGGGAGCTCCCTTGAGCCTGGAGCATTTTAAGAACTGGATGTGCCTTGGAAAGCAGCTCACCCAACACCTCTACAGCACCTCTACAAGCATGTCAACCAGGGCCACCCACAGCTGCTTGACATGTGCCTGACAGAGAAAGTATTATCTCCCAAGACAGCCCCAGAAAGTCACTAAAAATATGACGACAGGAAGTGTGAATGTGGCAGAAGAAGCACTAGGCTCCAACGCTGTGACAAGTCGGCTGCGAGGTGGCCGAGTGAACTTCACAGACGACCCCTTGTCCTCACCGCGCTCTTGGGAGTGACTGGATCATAAAAGTTTAATTCATTTGTTTGCAAGTTCAGAATTTCTTAAAGGTGCCCAGTGCCCAGCAGTGGGCATTGTGTCAGTGTTGACCTTGAGGTTTTCAGAATACCAGCTTGCTTCTTCACCACAGTTAGACGCTGCCTTCCAAGGAAGAGCCATCGATCAAAGACACACACAGCCTAAGACTCTTCTCTCTGACTTCCTTGACCCAACCCTCAAACAGAAGATAATGTCTGCATTCATGGGGACTGTATGCTACTCAACAGATAGCGTAAGACTATAGGAAAAAGGGAAAATATAGGGGGGGTGGCAAAAATTACCAAAACACTACCACTGCGAACTAAAACATGCTCACCTTTTGATGTATGACCTGCCAGACATTTTTATTACACAAATATGTACATTTATCTTTTTTTTTTTGCAAAAATGTATATTTTAACCTGATTTTGTTCATCTCAACAATATTGTGAATGCCTTGCTGAGCTCCTAAAGGAGCAGATATGTCTTTTTTAATGGCTGTAGCATAGTGTTTCAGTGTCTGGCTGTCCTGTCATTTGCTTATTCAGTCCTCTTTTGTTGCAGATACAGGTTGGTGAGCTCCTCTTTTTCACAGTTCTCAAACCCACACAGCCCATGCGTTGGGGTCATTCTTTGGCTCCGGCCTTCACTTCTCCCAGTTGAATGTTTACCACTCTTCTCAAGCCCAAATTTCTCCTCGCACCACTCCTCTCATTCTCCCCAGATGTTCTGTGTTCCAACTTTATGAGTGAAGTAGAGGCTACTAGGTGTAAAGCTCCTAAACACCCGTTTACTTCAAAATTCGTGTTTTTACCCTCACCTGTCGTTATGTTTCTACACTGTTAAATAATGATAAGAAATAATATTCCCCCAGGAAACAATGCAGGCATTGCACGCGTGGGAATGAAGAAAGGAGACATCAGCGTAGTCTAGAGTGGTTGGTTCATTGACTCAGAAAGAGGGCTGGCTGAGCTTGAGCTGAACTTTGAGGCTTGGGTTTAGGGAGAAATGGGTAGGTCATTTCAGGTGGAAAAACATGCGGTTGGAAAAAGTGTAGAAGAGGGAATAACCTGTATTCTTGCTACACATAGTGTGGCCCAAACCTGCAGCTTGGACCCTGGCAGAGCTTGCTAGAAACGCAGACTCTCAGGCCCCTCCCCGGCCTCGGGGATCAAACTGCACGTTTGGGAGGTGCTGATACGCGCCGTTTGTGTGGCGCTGCTCCGTGTACTGCTGGCTGAAGAAGCATCGCATCACGCTTGACCCTCAGAATAGGTTAGCTGGGTATGAATGAGTTAGATAAAGGTGTGCTACTATGTGTCCATTCTTTCTAGAAGAATCCATGAAGTTTACTGAGGTTTCGATTAGCTGAAAGTTTACTAGAGCTGAGCTCCAGACTCAGGTTTACAGATTCCACGTTCTTTTCCCACCCACCGCGCAGTGAGAATTGAATAGGCCGGCAGAAAGCCTGAGCGTGGGTGAGGCAGCAGCCGGGCCATGTGCCGGATCTGGAATGCTGGGCCTTTTGTTATTCGTCCATTAATACGTTCTGACCAGAAGAGTTTCATGGGTGTCTCAGGGAGACTGGTCTGGGGGAGGCATGAGAGTCAGGAGGACACAAGACTTAAGAGACACCAGTTATTCAGGACACAAGGACTAAATTATTTTATTAAAATATGTTTTTATTGATTTGAGAGAGAGAGAGGAAGGGAGAGGGAGAGTGAAACATCGATATGAGAAAGAAACATCAGTTTGTTGCCTCCCATATGCACCTCGAAAGGGACTGTACCTGCAACCTGGGGATATGCTCTGACCGGTAATCGATGACACTCTACCAGCTGGGCCACACCGGCCAGGGCTAAATTCTTTTAAATTCCTAAGCTACGGAGTATTAGTAAGTCACCCCAAAATATTTATGGGATACTCACTTTGTGCTGGGTAAGGGGCATTTGGTCTTGCCTTCGTGATATGGTCTCGCCCATATAATGCTTTTGGTTGAGTCACTTAGATAACCGAGGACCAAGTGCCCAGAAGACTGACAATAATGTCAAGAATAAAATCGCCTTTGGTTTTTTCTGTTTCTTTTATTCTCGGAGAAAAGCTCTGGCCCCAACGTTTGGTTTTGCTATTAGTGTTATCAATAACCTTGAATGAGTCACTAATCGCTGTGTCGCTCATCGTTCCTGCCACAACATAAACATCCTACTCACCATGACTTCATGGACGAGATATTGTAATGAGATCATTATGGGAGACAGTTTTGGTTTCCTGAGTATTAGGAAAGCTTGTAATGCCGTTAAGTATAAAGTTACTTTTAAAACCTCCACTTTTTGAAACTTTTAAAATTTCAGTCCCCTAGTGCGTTTTAGTCACTCTTCTCGGTATAATTACACGGGGAGGGAAAGAGTCCCAGCCATCTGTGGCTCCTGCTCGCCTTCCCTGGAGGTAGCACTTGAGAAGATAATGATTTATTTGAGGTGTTGTTAGTCCCACTCCGAAGGAGAATGGATGGTGGTTTCTCATTGTGCCTCGAAGGCCCATCTGCTGATGGGTGCGATTCATTAGACAGGAATACGTGGGCGTGCATGTGCCTGGTCGTCGTAGAGAAACAGCAGAGAAGAGTGAGGGGGGGGGGGGGGGGGGGGGGGGGGGGCTCTGCATTCCGCGTGCAGGTGGAGCATCCCCGTGACTAGATGAGTGCTACACGTTTGACTTCCGATGACCGCATGACCCGGGTAGGTGGCTCTGGGGCAGAGGACCTAACGGTGATCTCTATGCAGTGTCCGCATCACCTTTCACCTGTTCCTCACGGGGCCCCTTCCATGGCGTTTATCACACAGTGTCAGAGCTGCCTGCCGCCTGACTCCCGGACCTGTAGCAAAACCAAGCATGGCCCCGTGTGTCCGAGAAGACAGGCTGGTGCGGTTTTATGGAGGCTGCACGGCATAGAAGAGCTGCGTGTCACTGATCCTCCTGGTGGCATGAAGCCATGGCCCTGTGTGCTCAGTTGGGGTGCATGTGTGCGCACACGTGTGCATGGAGTGGGCAGCGGAAACCTTGTGAAGGGTGGTGGAGGGAAAACAGCTATGTGCAGATTAAACTGGTTAAGTCCAGCCAAAGGTTATAAAGGACTATCCCTGGAATTTTGAATTTCTTTAAATTGTATTATAAGTTCTTATACTATATTTTAAAATATAACTTAGTCAAGTACATATTATGCTTACCTGCTTTAACAAAGCACTCTTGCTCTGGGTGTGTGTGTGTGTGTGTGTGTGTGTGTGTGTGTACACTGTTTTCGGAGACATTTATGCCACAAAAAGTCCGCATGTTTAGATCGTGAATTCAAGGCCAAGAGATTCCTGGCCGCTGGTGACTGCTGTCTGAACTGAGGCTACAGTGTGGAGGGGAGTGGGCATGTTAGTCTTTAGATCAGCGGGTGATGTTTCCCCTCCTCCCACGGGGTGAGCCAGCGATGTGCAGCGTCCTCAGCGTGCAGGCGGAAAGCCGTGGAAAAGGGGCAGGTGCTTGACAAGTGGGGCTGCTGATGGCTGGTCAGGAGTCCATCTCGAAGCTCCCTTTTAACGCCTTTCTCTGTTTCTCCTGCGTCTCGTTTCTGTGCCTCGTAAACCCACAAAAGCCAGAAACAGATGTCTCCAGCTCTGTGAGCTTATGGAGGGCGTTCTCGCATCGATGGTTTTGTGTGTTTGCTCCCCCAGCTCTACGTGGCCACGGAAGCCATCCTCATCGCGCTGGTGGGGGCCACGCCCTCCTACCGCTGGGACCTGGCCGAGCTCCTGCCGAACCAGAGCCACGGCAGCCAGTGGGCGGGTGAGGACCTGGCGCTGGGGGACTGGCTCCTGAAGGCCAACGGCAGCGAGGTGCGCAAGCACGTGCACTTCAGCGGCAGCTTCACCTCCATCGCCTCCGAGGTGAGCCCGGGGGCGGGGAGCAGTGGAACAGAACCCGGTCATGTGATCACTAAGCCAAGGCGTCTCCTTGTCCAAACGGAACCACTTTTTTGTCTTGTTGATTTAAATTTCAGCCACATCTTCAGGTAACTGTCTAGTGAATTTGAGAGTTAAAGGAGGCTGTTCTATGAAAGCATATTTTTCCTTCTGTCTACAAATGGGAGAAGCACGAGTCTTACCAAGTTAGTAAGCTATCAACTCCAAAAGAGCTGTACTTTGATGCTAGTGCCCTTTGGAAAGGTGAAGTAAAACACAGAAATTAACAAAGTAGCGAGAAATGGAATGACCCGTCGGCAGCGTCCATGGTTCATGTTGAAGTCCAGTCCCATGTGTAGGCCTTGCGGGGCACCTTGACTGTACAACCTCAAGCACAAACGTGCCCCCTCGTGTGGGCAGGAAGCCTTACGTTCAAGTGGGGCTTTGCTGGCTAAGGTGGTTCTTACAAGGACAGTCCCTCCTGAGCCAGCCAGAGGGAAGTACGCTGAGGCTGGACAGCTTGGTGGAGAGAAACTCTGGGACGAGACGGGCCGGGCTCCTGCTCAGCTGGAAAGCACCCGTACTGGTTGTTAAAATGCTAAAATATTGTGTCCTTTGCCTGCTCCCCACAGCGATCCATTTGCTCACCGCCATCCTGGAAGTCCCTCCCCCCATTCAATTTTTTTTTTTTTTAGTTTTTATCATTGTATATTGAATTTTGTCCTATACATCAATTTACCATTTTCTACATTAATTGTAATGATCGTGTGATTTTTCTTCCTTAGCTTCTAGCATGGTGGATTATACTAATTAATTTTCAAATATAGAACCAGCCTTGAATCTCTGGATGGCATATAATTATTTTCATATATTGCTGAATTCTATTTGTTAATATTTTGCTAAGGATTTTGGCTTCTATATTCATGATGGATATTGGCCTGTTGTCTTCTTGTACTATCTTTGTCTGGTTTTCGTATCCGGGTAATACTAGCTTCATAAAATGCATTAAGAAGGGTTTCTATTTTCTGGAAGAGACTGTGTACAATTGGTGTCAGTTTTTTAAGCATTTGGTAGAATTCTTCATTGAAATCATTTCGACCTGGAGATTTCTTCTTGTGGAGTTTTAAAATTATGAATTCAATTTTCTTAATAACTATAGGGCTATTTAAATGCTCTGTTTTGTATTGTGAGTTATAGCAGTTGGGCTTGTCAAGGAATTGGTCCATTTCATCTAAGTTGTCAAATTTATATGTGTAGAGTTGTTCATACACACACACATATACACGCAAAGGAATACTGCTTAGCCATAAAAATAATGAAATTTTGCCATTTGTGGCAACATAGATGGACCTAAAGAGTATTATGCTAAGTGAAATAAGTCAGACAAAGACAGGTACCGTATGATTTCACTTATACTTGGAATGCAAAGAACAAAACAAACGGACAAACAAAACAGAAACAGACTCACAGATACAGAGAACAGACTGATGGTTATCAGAGAGGCGGGGGCTGGGAGGATGGGTCAAGAGGGGAAGGGACTTAAGAGGTACCAGCTTCCCGTTATGAAGTAAATAAGTCACGGGGATGCCATGTGCAGCATAGGGAATGCAGTCAGTAATTCCGCAGTAACTGCAGAGAGAGACGCTCACTAGACTTACGGTGATGATCACATCGTGAGGTGTATAAACGTCGAATCACTGTGTTGTCCACCTGGACTAACATAATATTTTATGCCAACAATACTGTAATAAAAGAAAAAAAACAGTAAAAGTACAACTTAAAAAAAAAGTTGACAAGCCCAAATAAACGTACAGGTTTCCTGAAATAGCAACAAATAACAAAGGAGAATGAAATAAAATGAACGCTGACTCTGTGCTGCTCAGGGGCCGCCTGGATGTTCAGATCCCAGCAGCGGCCGCCCATGTGGTAGCAGCATCGCCCCGTCTCCACTCGGAGTGTATTCAGGCAGATCCAAGGAGAGCTCGTCTGCTTTGCGTTTCAGTGCAGAATCTCATGTTCCCCCCAAGTCATTTTATTTTATTTCCACGTACAGGTGAGGTGCCCCCCGCCCCCCGTGCGTCATCCCCACTCCCAGTGCGTGAGTGACACGTGTGTCCACACACTCTATCTCTGCCTTGGACGCCGGAGCCCTAATTGGGTGGCGTTGCAAGTCCCGGTGTGGTTCCAGGAGGTGGGATGGGTGGCTCCCGAGTTTCCTGCCGCCGCCACCAGAAATGCCGGAGCTGGCGGAGAAATGGTAGCAGAGGGAAGAGTAACGGGAACGGTGATCCCTAGCAGCAGGGCCAGCAGGGCCGGGCCGTGGCCACAGAGCCGCTCCGTCCAGTTCACCTTTACTGCAGTGCAGTCCCAAACCCAGCCCCCCGCCCGCTTTCTTAGCGTTCGTTCCATTCTGGTGACCTCTCTGGTGTTTCAGTTGCTCCTCAAAATCCCCAAGGTGGCCGTATGGAAGCTGGTACCCAAACTTGTCATTACGTTGGTAAATATCCTTAATGCACAATCTGTGGCACATAGATAATATATGCTACTTCCTGAAATTATTTGCTATAAAATTAGAATTAAAAAAGCGAGTATAGTCTTGTAGGAACTTTTAAAAGTAATTATCCAGATAGAGCCTGGAGAACTCTATAGTTTGAGATGGCGTTAAGAGTACTCATTTTATATTTATTTACTTATTATTTATTTATTTTATTTTTTATTGTTGACACTATTACGGATATTCTTCATCCCTCCCCTCCTTTGCCCACCTCCACCCAGCCCCCACCCTCCCCCTCCCCTGGCCTTCACCACACTGTCGTCTGTGTCCGTGGGCTGGGCTGTGCATATATGTTCTTTGGCTGCTCTCTTCACCTTCTTTCATCCAATACCCCACCTTCTTCCCCTCTGACATCTGTCAGTCTGTTCCATGGATCCCTGCCTCTGGTTCTATTTTGTTTGTCAGCTTATTTAAAACTCTCACCTGCCCCTTATTACATTCAGGTCAGGCCTTGCAGGAGTTATTCATGGAGGGTTTGGGGAAGGGTGAATAAAAGGTTATGTAGATATGATTAACTTGGTATTAATGCAAAAAAACCCTCTAATTTAGGAGTCTTGACTATTTTAAAATGAGCTAATAGCCATTGGGGTGAATTGATGTAGCAAATTGCTGTCTGCCGTATTCACATTACTCCCCGAGCTCTGACTCATTGAGAAAGGACCAAATATCACGGAGACATGCAATTATCATGCTTAATTAATGTTTGCAACCAAAAAGAGTCAGGCTGGAATCTTCAATATCATTGTAGATGTAACAACCGAAATTGACTGATTATTATCTTGAGATTAATATATTTTCCCAAGTCATACCCTGGGGTCAAAAGACAGAATAGTAAAACTATTGAAAAATTGACTGCAATAATTGCTTGAGGGGCTAATTTTTTAAATGTCTTGCTTCCCTATGCTTGTGCTTCTGACTGTTCTAGACTGCACACTTCACCCATTAAGTGGTAATTCCGAGTGACAACTGCACTGAGATGAAGCAAGTTAGTTAATCACCATGAAATTGTTCCTGAAACACCCTGTCCGAGTTCTTCCTAATCACAGGAGGCCTCTGAGCCCCTGGTTTTCTCCCGAAGTGAGATTCTTCCTGCCCCAAACTGGGAATATTTTGGGGGGTAATACAGGACAGTGGGGGAATGGAGTGGCGTTGGAATTGTTATCAGGATTCTTCTGAATATTTCCTAGAACAGCCCCCAGCTCCCCAGCGGTGCCGAGCACCCAGGGTCCTGCAGCCGGGCGTGGGGAAGCTGCTGTGTTCGAGCCCCGCAGCCTCGATATACTGACAAGCTGGGAGTGGCCGTGGCACTCACAAGATGGCTCACCGTGGCTAACGCAGTAGAGAAGTTCGGGTGTACAAGTTTCGTTGTAGGTTTGTTTTTTTAGTAGCTATCTCTGTCCACCCATCTTTTCGGTGACCTGAATGTCTCTCTTGTTCTTCCTTCCTCCAGTGGTTTCTGATTGCCAACAGATCGTACAAAGTCAGCGCGGCCAGCTCCTTCTTCTTCAGCGGCGTGTTTGTGGGCGTGATCTCTTTCGGGCAGCTTTCCGATCGCTTCGGGAGGAAAAAGGTCTACCTCACAGGTAACCCACTGGAGTGTTCGTGAACCGAATGAGGACACGTTTCCCCGAGGTTCCGGGGAATGGCCATGTGTTTTTCATTACACTGGCAAGAGGCCGAGCAGCAGCCAGCATGAATTCCGGCCAAGGTTTTCAAGTGGCCAGCATAGATGGCAAAGGCCAGATATTTGCATTGGAAGCTTTTCAGAGATGATGGTGCTTTCTGTCACCCCCCAATTCTAATTTATGCCGTGTTCCTAAAGAGAGCAACGATTGAGACAGTCTACTAGGCCCATTTCCTTCTATCTTGTGTTGTTGATTCATTTTGAATGGGCTCTACAGGACTCAGCATAGCTCTCTTGACAAGCTGAGTATGAGCTAGTTTTATATTTCAGAAAGGAAGAAAGAGAGGGAGAGAGAGATGGAAACATGAATGATGAGAGAGAATCATGGAGAATCATTGATTGGCTGCCTCCTGCACACCCCCTACTGGGGATCAAGCCTGTAACCTGGGCATATGCCCTTGACTGGAATTGAACCTGGGACCCTTCAGTCCACAGGCCAATGCTCTATCCACTGAGCCAAACCAACTAGGGCTGAAACAGAATTTTAAAAAAATTACCAGCATTTCTGATCGACAGAAATCAACATGTGACAAAGAAAGAAAACCTCGGTTTTTGTTTATGGTTTATAAGAGAAACCTTATTTAAAACAAACCGTCAGAAAATTTCAGCGTGCACAGATTTACGTTTGCAAACGAATGAATAGGATTGTTTCCTTCCACCAGGTGCTGTTTTCGTTTGTGGGTCACTGAATGCTCTTCCTCTCTTTCTAGGTCTTGCGCTTGACATCTTATTTGCTATTGCGAATGGGTTTTCACCCTCATATGAGTTCTTCGTGATGACCCGCTTCCTGGTGGGCGTGATGAATGGAGGGATGTCCCTGGTGGCCTTTGTCCTGCTGAACGAATGTGTGGGCGCCGCCTACTGGGCACTCGCAGGTACTGCTGGGTCCACGCAGATGTGGAGGTGGTGAGCGGCTTCTGAAAACTCTGCAGGGAACCAGTTTAACCCTGGAGTCTAAGGATGCACCTGGACTTGAAGTGCTCTGTCCAACCGTTAGATTTGCAGTCCTGACCGTGAATGAGTCACTTGAATTCCACTGTAGAAAGTCTGCCTCACAGACGGTGGGCGAGCTCGGCCCACCCTCACAGAGTGCCCCCAGATTGTTGGGAAAGGGTCGGTTTCCCTGAAGGGCATTCACTGCCCCCTCGCTGCCAGATCATTCGGATTATTCCTGTTCCGTTGCAACAGTGGAACCAGAGTGTTGCCAAATTCACGGTAGAATTAGAGCGAGTGTGAGAGAGTTCCCGGAAAGCCCGCCCACTGACCCGCACCCAGGGCACCTGGAGCTCTTTTGAGATCCGGGCCGTCCCCAGGGTTCTGTCCTTGGCCCTCAGGTCCCAGCTGGTTTCTCTCCAGCAGTCCCTCGTGCACGCCGCTGCGGCTGCAGATAGGCTATTGACCGGCAAGAGGGTGGGGAAAACCTGAGTTGAGTGCTCAGCAGCAGGGGATGGATTGGAAGTGGCCTCATTGTTCACAGTAAAAAAATAATTGGAAAATTACGCTTGATTACAAAATACTGTTTGCAGTACGTCCAAAATGCTAAGTAAAGTAGTTACAAGAAAGTGTAAGCATAAACCTAAGACATCCTTTTTGTTGTTGTTAATCCTCCTCCAAGGATATTTTTCCATTGATTTTAGAGAGAGTGGAAGGGAGAGGGAGAGACAGAGAGAGAGAGAAACATCGATGTGAGAGAGACACGTTGATCGGTTGCCTCCCTCATGCGCCCTGACCAGGGCCAGGGGTCAAGTCTGCAACCGAAGTACGTGCCCTTGACCGGAATCGAACCTGGGACCCTTCAGTCCCAGTATAGCTAGTAACTGTCTTAGTTACTAGCTATAAAGGAATGAAGCCAATGGACAAAGTCTCTGGCATCAAAGGATCTAGTAGGGGAAGTAAACAATAAAAAAGATTAAGCAACCAAACAAGCTAACTTCAGATAATGATGATGATTATGAAGAGAGACCCCAGTCACAGGTCTCTCTTCCCTGAACCAGGGTCAATCGGCGGCCTCTTGTTCGCAGCCCTAAACCAGCTAGGGCTGGAGCTTATGTTTTCATCAGGAGGGGCAGAACAGATTTGAGGCCGTTTCAGAAAATCGTAAGTACAGTGAAGAAAAGGTCTCATCCTGTGGCCGCCTCTTTCTGCTGACACTGTTGTCAGTGGATGCTGGCACTCGGAACCGATCCGAGTGCCAGAGGCCTCATTCTTGGGAGCCAGGTGCTCTCGGGTGCGCCGTAATGAACCTGTAATAGCTATCGATTATCTTGCGTTTCCAGGGGAATCACGCTCGCCCATTCCCCTGCTTATCGGGCCACAGGTTCTGAACACTGAGCATCGGCTCTCCCTCTGGTTCCCCTTTGCCTCACCAGGGCCCACAGTATACATGTCGTTATTTTTAGTTACAGCTTGACAATCTACGAACAGAATAAAACATTTGTTTTACAGGATTTTTGTAGAGATTTTTTGTAACAGGTTTCAACAAAGCCCATTGCTTTGGGATGCCCACAGAAGCTCACCTTTCCCTAGAAGGGCGATAGGAGAGAGAACGTAGGCAATGCAGTCTCACCAGTCAGACTGACGGGGTTCGAGTCCCAGCCCTGCCACCTGGCCCTGCCACCCGCAGCACCTGACCGTCTGAGCTCTGTCCTCACTCCATAGACGGCTAATGATGGTCCCTGCGGTCTAGGGCAATATATGCAAAAGGCTGACTGCTCAATAAATCGTAGCTATTATATAAATAGTAGCTGTCAGCTGGTACTGTCAGCGATAGCAGGTATGGAAAGCGTGACAGAGGAATAGACTTTGCAAGTATATTGGACAAGCCGGTGGGTTTAATACCCACCTAGCATTTCTTTTAAAAAATACGAGTTTCTTAACAATCCCGTGGTTGGTTTTTTCCCCTGTTAGTGTGCTGACAATAATCCATGCTTCATGGAGCTTATATTCTACTTGGGAGAGATAGACAAGAAAATAAATATGAAGTGTCATATCTGATGGTGATAAATCAAGTTGGGGAGGGCAAAAGGGAGAATTGGGAGGTAGATTGTGATTTAAGATAAGGATTCCAGGGGCAGCGTCTGTGACGAAATGAAGTCCCAGTATTGCACTAATCTCATGACCTAAACACCTCCCGGTCATACAGCAAACAATGTTTCCAAGCCTCGGCCACGGATCAGGCGCGTGCCCGTCCAACAGGCACAGCCTTCAAATCCGCCTTGACCACGTGGGGTGTGTATTTTTCATCTGTCCTTCCCCCCTTTTCACTCGGTTGCTGGCCTCCCTTCCAGTTTATCGTCTGAGGCTCGATATTTGTGTAGGTTTCTCTTTCCCGCTGACTTCTCACGAGGAAGGAGCTGGCTCGGTGTCTCGGGTTGGGAATGGTCTGCAGACGGGGCCTCCCCAGTCACAGGTCTCTCTCCCCTGAACCAGGGTCGATCGGCGGCCTCTTCTTCGCAGTCGGCATCGCCCAGTGCGCCCTGCTGGGGTACTTCATCCGCTCCTGGAGGAGCCTGGCCGTGCTGGTGAACCTGCAGGGGACAGCGGTCTTTCTCTTATCTTTGTAAGTAGTTCCCTCTCGCGGAGTTTAGGCTCAGTAAGCAGAAGGAATGCCTTCAGAGGATGCGGGTCAATGAGCGGCGTTATTCCCTTGCAGGAATTCGCCTGCACTGACTCGGGTGAAGAACTAAATTCCGCAAGCGCTCCCATGCTTGGCAGCTTCTGGGAAGAGAGATGCTTAAATTAATTCAGAATGCAGGTATCCCTTGTTTAAAGTAACCTCTCCAAAACTGCATCTTAGCCTTCAAATGATGGCATCGGGGTCCAATTTCTTTTTAACCTGATGCCTCAAACTTAAAGATCTTCCGGCTGGATCACAGCGTGGGCTGAGTGTGCGACAGAGTAGGATTTTTTTAAAAATCTATTTTTTACATAAAAGACCTATTCATAGTAATATATAATGTCAACTATTCACCTTACAGATGAGTATCATTTCAGGGCCTTTGCGTGTGGATGCGGGAAAATTCTCAGCTACGGGAGGAATCCTTAGCTAAGGTGCATGGGCTCAGCAGAGTAAACGGATGAGCCCTGGTCAGGGCAGGGTTTACAGATGACTCACCCACAGTGTTACCTTGGTGCTCTCGACCGTAAAGGCCAGCCACCAGCCTCAGCTGCTTCCCCAGAAGTGTTCAGGGGCTTCTGAAAGGAAAGGGTCTCTCTGGAGGAGTCAGACTCTCATTGTAATCATCAAAACCTTTGGGCTAAATGCGATGTTCAGGCCATGGTCCCAGCTCTCTTCCGTGGCAGGCAGTGAGGGTTAGCTGTGGTAGAATTTTCACTCACCTAGATCTTTAACCTAGCAGCTCTTTATTCAGGTTCAAAAGCAAGTACGGAAATGAATAGAGTAGAAATAGTTGACCTCTATTTAAAGTGGCCCATTTACTAAAGACTTAATCAGGCAGCGTACATAGCACCTCACCTGTGCCCAGGGCCAGCTGATCCGATGGATGATCGGCACACGTAACGCCCAACAGAACAATATTTTACTTAATCATTTACTTGTGTGTAAGTAATAATAACCAAGTGGTAATGCGGACGGAGGTAAAGGGATTTTTCAGGATCTTGTAGAAGGCCCCAGGTCCCGCTTTTGTTGACAGTTCAATGTTGTACATGAATATTCCCTCCCCAGTAGCAGAGCTCCTGGGAAAGACCCTGCCTTTTTGTTTGCATAGTCTTTCCTCTCTGCACCTGCTACCCTGGGGGTCAGAATGAGAAGGCTCCATAGATGGCCATTGACGGACTGGCTGTCCAGGAAGCTCCGAATTCTGTGGCATTTGTTGCCAATTCACTCCCCTTACTGACAGGCACCTTCAGTAGCCAATGTGATTTACACACGTTTCATTTTAGGCCAATCAGGTCACATTAGATCCAGAGGTACTTGATGTTGTGTTTAGTAAACAAGGCTTTGTGCTCCTGCCACAGTTTAGTCTTTGAAAAGTCCTCTAGGGGTGCGTGCAGAACTGGGAGGAGAAGACATACGTGCCTGGCCGGCGTGGCTCAGTGGTTGAGGGTCGACCTATGGACCGGGAGGTCATGGTTCGATTCCCAGTCAGGGCACATGTTGAGGTTGTGGGTCCCAGTGTGGGGCGTGCCGGAGGCAGCCAGTCAGTGATTCTCTCTCATCATTGATGTATCTCTCTCTCCCTTCCTCTCTGAAATTACATATGTATATGGGTCTTAAAACTGTTGGAAGATAGCAGTGGTGATAGTAATGTCCAGTACGTTGTGCTGTAGTAGAAAGGAACTGCTGTTTTGTAACTGGAAGTTAATAAGGAAGTCACTTTTGTTACATAAGATCTTGGGGCGATTCAGGAAATGTCCTCAGATGCTTTGAATATTTTGAAGCAGTAAATGCTCAAAAGTAACTGAATAGTGATGAACCCTGTTTAACTTTTATGTGTGGCCTTCAAATAATCTCTGCCTTCATGATCACATATCACTACCTTTAAAACACTTTGTACAAATTTATTTTTTCTGATGAGATAATAAAGATTTTTATCTTCTTTATGGGGCTTTTCAAGAACTGAAAACGCCTACTATCTCCACAGTGTTATTCTAACAACACCTGGCTGTGATTTAGAGCCATAACTCTGACCCGTGCTTCAGGAAGCATTGGTAGTACTTAGTGCTATCGTCTGACCTTGCCATTCATATTAAATGGTCTTAAACGTAACCGCACACCGTTTACCGGTGTCACTGCTACTTGGGAAGCGTGGTCTATTCGGGAAGCGTGGTCTAAGTTCCCATTCATAGAGTAGATCACTGCTTAGCCCGAGCAGCTGTTGAGTCGCCCGCTCTGTCTTCCCTGTGTCTTTGGGAGCGTAGGCTTTAGGCCTGCGGTGGAGTCAGTGGTGGTGAGGGAATCGAGCGCAGCCTGGGTGGGCTGCCCCCTCCCTGTCACGTGTGCCTGTGTGAATATACAGCCTTTCATGACGTCTCTTTCAGATTCATTCCTGAATCACCTCGTTGGTTATACTCCCAGGGTCGACTGAGCGAGGCGGAAGGGGCTCTGTACCTCATCGCCAAGAGGAACCGCAAGCTCAAGTGCACGTTCTCACTCACTCACCCGGCCAACAGGAGCTGCAAGGCCTCGGGGAGTTTCCTGGACCTGTTCCGGCACCGGGTCCTCCTGGGGCACACGCTGACCCTGATGTTCATCTGGTAACT